TTATGAAACCACAGTACGGGGTTGACGCTTTCAGCAAGATTCAGTTCTGAAAGCTCATGAAGGACAGAACAGTTTCACAGCAGACATTTTGAGTTGCCACATTAGAAAAACACAGGTGTAGCTAACAACATTAATAGGTGTCTATTACACAATGAAGCACAATAGCATCATCCTGGAAATGGCTCACATAAATGCAATGCAGCCATTGTGAGTGTTAGCAAGCACACCAGTGCTTTTCCTACCATGATGTGTCAAAATGTCTGCTGTGAAAAAGTTGGACCTAAAATTGGTTAAAAGACAGTGGTCACAAAATGATTATTAATTGTGAATTTGCAGGCTCTAAACTGATCCTTTTCAATTAAAAGGCCTTTCATGGCTATCAGAAACTCCTCTCAATACAATGGGTAATGATTACACCAATAATTCAGCTAAAATTAGCTGAAAATACACTTTGAGGTACTTACTTCTCTGTGAGTTTTGTGCTGACAAAGGTTGGATGTAGTGCTGCTGATTTTTGTGCTGAAGACTTTGCTGTTCTCTTCTTACTACCATTGCCAACAACACAGTCCTTGAATCCAAATGTTATTATTTTGGTCTAGTCTCTTCAATGATAGCCCTCGACCGTCACCCCTCTGCTGGACTGGTAGGTTCTGGTGGGTTGCCAGGTTCACGCATTGCACTAGAAATCACCCAATTGTTTCAATAACAAATTTTTATTTCTCATATTTTATTAAAATAAAAGGAAATAATTTTGGCTCATCTGTCTCAAGTCTACGTCAAGACTCCAGTCATGAATACCAAGTCAAAGACAAGTTTACCAATGTGTTTGTCAAGCAGGTTCAAGTCTGACTCAAGTCAGTTTATGTGAGTCCCCCCCCTGACTGGCTTATAGAAAACAATGTCCCCTTCAAGAAGTAAAGTTCATTTAAGAAACGCTATAGCACCTTAACATCACCACTGGGACAAATAGATTTTATAGCCAATGTGTAATTAACATTTGATGAATGATGATGATTTCTGGTAAATACCTTTGTAATAATTTTAATATTTTGTCTGTTTTCAGCTCCAAGGGTCAATTATGGTGGGCTCACTCCTCCAGATATTTGTTGGCTTCTCTGGCCTCATTGGCCTCTTCATGCGCTTCATTGGACCACTCACCATTGCTCCCACCATCTCTCTCATTGGACTGTCCCTGTTCGACTCAGCTGGCACCAGTGCTGGCCACCACTGGGGCATCTCTGCCATGTAGGTCAAATGTCTCGTATTGAAGACTGGGATCATTGTGCTACAGATAACAAAAGTACATCAAGTGGTCATCTGTTTCAAGTGTGCCATTGTGTGTGTGTGTGTGTGTGTGTGTATTCCTGTTTTTTCCCTAAATTTCTGATCATGTTACATGATCCCTGTTGTTCTAGTCATCAGTATGGTCTTACCTAAAGAGAATCTCTGTAAGGAGTTCCTGCCAGTTTAATGCATTTTCCCAGTCAAACATCTCCTGACATGGTACAGCCAAATTTCTGAAAAAATAAGAATAGACTTGAAATCTGTGTAAAGTCTTAAACTTTAGGCACGGCAGCAAAGCCTATTACTGTAAAAGTGTCTTGCTAAGGAGCCTGCTGAGATGCTCTGCTAAGTAGCTATATGCTGGTTAGAGCTATATTCAGCTACAGTACAAATAAGTCCTACTGTTTATGTATGTAATACTGTGAATTTTGTGCTGTGAAATGATTTCCTTTTCTCTCCTTCACACAGGACCACAGCACTGATCATCTTGTTCTCACAGTACCTCCGCCACATACCTGTGCCCTTTCCTTCATACAACAAGGACAAAAAACTGCACACCTCCTATGTCTGCATGTTTCAGCTTCTCCCTGTATGTGTTAAGCTGCCTTCCCTGTTTGCTGTCCTTGGTATCAAAATGCATTTATTTCTTTGTCATTTATTCATTTTGAACAACTAAGTTGCCAACAAAGATGTTTGGTTTTTGTGTGCATCCTCAGGTTCTGCTTGGAATTATCTTATCTTGGCTCATC